AAGTTAAAGAGCAAGGGAGACAAAGCATCTCCTTGTTTTAGACCGTTCTTGATGAAGAATGTCTCAGATACATATTTACCTACTCGAATTTTGCTACAGGTTTCATTTAAGCTCATTTTTGTTAGACTCACTAGCTTCTTTGGTGTACCAAATTCAATTAGAAATGGTCGATCGCTGTCACCACGGCATGGCGCGTCCTCAGGTTGCGGATGGAGGAACAGCCTCTAGTTACGGAGATTAACTGCGAATGTATTGAATAAGCAGTCGCGGACAGATGATAGGGGATCGTCCTCTAGTTTGGGGGTTGGGCGTGAGGTTAATAACTTTTCGCCGTAAAAATACTCTATTACGAAAAATTGTACCAAAATCTTAGAAAGAATAATCTTGCATTTAAATGTCGAATTGCAATCAAAATCCTTAGCCTAGTAACAGATTTGTGAGCGGTCACAAGTTTTAATTACACTAAAGGTTTAAACAGTTTTCCATTCTATTTCCTTTTCAAAGCAATTTTAGAACATACCTTATTCTTTCCATTAATTTATTTGTTTTCTTGCAGTTTGTACGTGTCTAAGCATTATCGAAAATAATCCGACATGGACCTTGCAAATCGTATGCCAGAAAAATTCTTATAATTGACAAGAGTTTATATAAACTCCATGGGGCAGAATAATTCTTAGTTAATTAACAATCATTCAGCTCAATGTTTCAGCCTTTATCAAACCGGAAGATTCATTGCGTTTCTCACATCTGATACCAATCATGTACTCATTAATCCTACCCACAATATATTTCGTTAAGGTCCATTTTAATAATATCCTCCTCTGTACGCTTGGTTCTACCAATTGTTTTCCTTCATATTTCACACACTCGTAGTAAATTTATAGTTTTTATGTTTTAATCCCTTTAAACCGAAGCTTGTCTAAATAATATTTAAACATTCGGTCCGTACCGCAAAGAAAACACGACACGCTATGAAGGTAATTTTTTTTAATGTTGTTTAAAGTAATAATCCTTGTTTACAGCGAGAATCAAACAAAACCCTTAAAAACAAAATTAAGATTTGACGATTATTAGGTGGTAAACATCCTGTCGCTACCATTCGGCTTTAAAGGGGTAATTTAATGCTTTTATATAGGACATGAAATATGAATGTTCTTAACTAAATGGTTTGCAGTATTCCTCTAATTTAATAAGCTTTTAAAAAGTAGCGAATATAATGGCAAAAAGACATATACCTATAACTGCTTGTTAGATCATTTAGCAAACAAAATGTTTTAAGTAATTACAGTCCGCGAAGACAAATACTGCACTTCCTGTGTAGCCACCTCTAGTCTGAGGTGTGAACTGACGTAAGTGGACAATTGAAATGTACACTGCGCATGTTCGTGTTTCCGACTCTGGCTAATGCGCAGTTATCTACTGCGCACACGAATCCATCTTGATCTGTCTCTTGCATTCGAATTATTGCGGATACGTGTACTAGAGACTTAAACGAAAGCCAGGCGTTTTGTTGGCACAATGCCCTATTTTATTATATCTGTGTAAACAATTACTTTTTTAAATTTCCTGATACACATTTATTTTGCTGACTCTCGACTATATTATATTTGTGACCGGCTAATCCGGTATAATTTGGCTCATTTCCGTGATACTTATTATTTATTTTGTATCATTTCTATCTTGTATGTCATCTTCAGTATTAATCAGCTCATTGTTTTACGAATGTCTTAGATGTTTCAAGATAACGTAGTCTATATAAAAAAATTTAAATACATAAATCCGTCAACACATAACATATATTGCATGTCTAATCTTTTCTAATAGTAAATTTACTCTTGATAAAATTGTTGTTAATGTGACAATGTATGTGATGAACGTGTGATAAAATATATATTAAAATAAAATCTATTGACCGTAAGCAAATTATATTTATTCAAATGAAAACTGGTGCACTATATAATAATATAATACAGTGTGATGTAACGCAGTGAAATACAATATAATATAATACATTGCAATAAAATAAATTAAAGTATAATATAATTTTACGAAATATAATGTCGTAGTATCGTATGTATTATACTATGTTATATGGGAATTATAATATAAATCTATATGTTATACAGGTTTTATACCGTGTGTTAGAAATAAGTTTAATTCTACGTGTTGACGGCTAATTAAGCCAAAATATGGAGCAAACCACACACCTATTCACATTGACACCAGATTTTCCTGTAATAAATGTACTGTTAGTTGAAGTATGGCATATATGTTGTCTGTTGACGGCTTTACGTATTAATATTTCCTTAACATAATCACAATAAGATGCTCATTACAAACTACAGGGTGTCCCAATATATATATATATATATATATACATTCAATTAATGAAATAAAGACAGTTTAATAAACTGAACAAATATATACGTCAGCAAAGTACACATAGTAATTACCGAATCTTGCGTAGTTGTTCAAAATGACCACCGTTAGCTTCGTGGCGCAGTTGACAGCGGTAAGCGACTGACTCTGTTTTATAAAGCGTATACATATTTTTGGCAGACCTGTATACATAGACACCTCTGATATTTTTACGTAATGTTTATTTAACAGTTAGAGGTTCATCTGTAATTTCTTACGATATAAATTTGTTTCCTCAGAATTTTCGTAAATATTCCCGAATGGCAATGTTGCTATAAATCCCAGAAGATAGAGACGGCATGTTCTTTCCAAACAATTGTAAAGACCTATGACTCCACACAGCGTAAATCATCGTGAGATAGTCAAATCTCGCAATATTTGTAAATATTTTCACTTCCATTACTATAATTCTACGACCTTTTTGCTTCCAATAAATTTCATGTATTACTGATAGATAGAGCCACGGTGGTCTAGCGGTTAGAACGCTGGCCTTGTAATCCTGGGGTCTCGGGTTCGATTCCCGGCGGTGCCCGAATTTATAACTTGTGTTGGGCAAGGCCGTGGTCTAGGCAACACGGAGGCTTCC